ATAATAATGGACGTCCGAGTAAGTAAATTATTAACAGACTCTTGGTGAGAAAATGTTGGGAACCGATGAAGACACATAGCAATCTAATGTGTTTCCAATGAACACTGCAGTTGATGCCGAGTTGTTTGGTGAGTATTTATTTATATATCCCTTTAATACTATCTTTAACTAGATACATCCTTGAACAGTCGTAAGCATTAAAGTCACCTTTAATTATTTAGGGCAGTTTTAAGAGCAACCTGCCCAAGGAGTCAGCCAGTTGTGTAATCAAAGCACGAGGCAAGGAGGATAGATTGCCAGACAACAAACATGAGTTTGATTTCAAACTGAATCTGGTAGGAAGACAAGGTCGAAATTTACCAAGTAGTATATATATATATTTCTTCCTGTTTATGCAGGAACATACCAGTTGTACAGGCACGGATAAGTTATTATATCAATTACACATAATTTGATGTATGATGAGTTTACAGTTTGGTTGTTCTTTCTGACATGAGAGTCAGTCGGAACAGTCTGCTATAAAGTCTGTTTGTGTAGCACATAAAGAGATATAGAAATATTGTCTTCGCATTAACAAAAAACCCAGACATCACTTGAATGTAATACAGGTATCTGGGAAAAATAAAGCTTGAAGTCAATTCTCTTATATAACTTTGTTGTGAACAGCACCCTTGGCTTGAGGTTTATTGATGTATTATATTGAGATCAGAGATGTATTCATTCAATTTTTCAGCAGTCTTATCGTAGTTTTATAACAGGAAAGAAATTTGATCGTGGATGTGGAAACTAGATAAGGTCATATTAAGTTGTTTCACTGCATCAAATGGTGCCGAGGTCGATTCCAGAATTCTCCATTTGCTCCATTTGTATCTGCATGGCGGACTGTATTCGTAAGTTCAGTAAAATGTTGAAAACTGTTTGAAAACCAGTTGCTTCTTCATTTCAGATCATGAATACTCATTTACAGCATGTTCGCCAGCGTCTTCAAATGGTAGAATTGGATCTTTCATGGAATTTGAGTGATTATGAGATAGACGGTTTGGAATTGATCCTCATTTCAGTTTAGGTGCAGGGTTGTTCGACCTCGGCCAGAAGATAAATAGGAGCAGCAGAATACCAGAAAGAGAAAGTATGTGAACATGAAAAGGACATTTAATATTTCATGCATATATAAATGTTTATGTCAATTGTATATTATACTTTAGTAAATAGTTTTCATTAATGTAGTAGTTTCCACAGGAGTTCTCCGTGCCGAATTTATTCCTTCAAGGGCCTACAGAGATTAATTCTTCAATTAAATACCACTGACGTGGAAGAAATTCCATTCTTCATTACTACACTTAATGAAAAGAATCATGTTTTTTTATTTTAAAAACAGGAGCATTCGTAATGTTTTACTTTATGTAAATGCAGTTACATGCAGTTGCACTAAGAACTCAACGCAACTCGATACACAATAGTATATATACAAATAAACTAAAAAATAATGACCTCCTTACCTTCTGAACAACTTGCCCTCATTCCAGGATTATAATTTTTCACCTATGAGCCTGAGTTATGTTTACGAAATCGCAATATTACATCAGTCAAATCTTCCCCCAAAACCAAGGCCACTTGAAACCAATAGCAACATAGCAACAAGCGTCATTGAGGGGATAAGCAATAAAGTCGCTCAACAAGTATGTAGTATTACTAACTGGCTCCTTAGGATTTTCATTGAATATTCACCACAGTCAACAAAAACAGTCTTTGGACTATCGTGTCGTGTGTGATGTATTTTTTCCACTAACGTCTTACAAGTCATAAGTGCCCTTAAGTTGAGGTGTTTTTAGTCAGAAACCATTCACCATCTGATTAAAGTGAGTTTGAATCAGCTTTCTTATCCCAGTTATTCAGAAGCATATGTTATTGAGAGCACTACGTACCGACAAATGTGATGGATTGGAGTTCCAGAAACTTGCTTTTGATTATATGTTTTTCAATGACTACGGACTATGAGACTTCCCATTGATATATCATCCACACGAGACTTATTTATGGTAAGCTGTCAATCCATTTATGTAGGACTTTACTTTGAGTGAGCATTTTCTCTCTTGATATTTGTCTTTCAGACAACTTTCTTGACATTAGTACTAACGTTAGTACTATTATGATTTCCTCTTGTATTCCGAGTAGAACACGAAGCTTCAGCTGCACATCTCCACCACACTTGATTCTCTCCTCTCTTATTCAGTTGGCTCCACGATTGCCCCTGTTCCAAAGATCCATTATGTGTCACTCTCGGGTTTCTATTCGTGTTCCCTCTAAGGACTTCGTATTTCAAATCCCTCATTAGTAACCCCTGCATATATTCAATTCATATTCATTCCCCTCTGCGCCTTTATCGAGCGAAATGCTCCTAGTTGTTTCATTACATTGTCTGAGTCCTCTGGTGATTATTCCTACCTACCGGCTATTTGATCTCCACTGTCTAGCGAAGGCAGCTGTTAGTGAAGGTTTGCAGTCTGTCAAGAACGCTTTTGGTGATGTGTTAGCCAAATGTTTGAACCAAATTTCAGCAATGACTTGAAATTGATGCTTAAAATTTGGATTGCATTCTTTGTGTTGACTGCTACAGACCTCCACAGTTATTTTAGAGTAATGAACACCAGTACTGCCTTTCTTATATTCAACTTGACATCTTCATCCACGCCGCCTGTAATTGAAACATTGCTGTCTAGATAAATAAAAGAGGTGACTTTCTTCAAATATACTCGGTTGATTGTACTTGGCGCTTGTTGATTAGGTATCTTCATGACGTCTATCATCTTTCCTCTCAAAGTCTATGTTTCTTCTGCTAGTTTGCTGGGATTTTTCAGTAGATCTTTGACTTTGTGTGGCAATAGGCATAAATCGCCCGCAAAGTCAAGAAATCCTAAAGTCTTCTTGAATGTTCGGCGTACACTTTTCTTCTTGCTTCACACGATTTTTGCATCATCTACCCCATCATAATCAGGAAAGTTATTTCTGTACTTGCTACAAACAAATTTAAAACAAAGTCTCATGACTAAGTAGGTAAATTTTGGAGTCATGGATCATCTCATTTGACTAATATTCTATGCCTATTGGATGTGATTGTGGAGGTTGGTAATTTCCCTAAATTATAAACTACAGCATTCATCACTGAACATGAGATGTTGACCCTGTAGTACCCCTATATCAACTGTAAACATGCTTTTTAATCTAATTTGTATACTTGTATTATATGTTTACACAAACTGATTTTATATGTACTTCGCAAATATTTGTCAATTTGCTGTTGAATATTACCTTGACACAATTTCGAAATTTGACTACTGCAATAATACACGATCGTACTCTTCGCAAGTGCCTTTTGGTTTTACGTTTTGGGCGTCGAGTAGCCACAACGTCTGCGCACATTAATAAAAGTGAAGAAGTACTAGAATATACATGTACGCAAGTTTAGTCAAATAACGCACGCAACAACCCTCACTGTTTAAGTCGATTTGTTTAGCTGAAGGCTTAGTATCAAACATCCACGCCATTCGGCACGCCATCGTGTTACTTCCGTTTGTTCGTGCACAAACCCTAGCTCCTAAGAGCATGTGGAAACTTTTCAATGAAATTACTGGCAATAGTAAGCGATGTAATGTTTTTCCCTCTTGTGATGTTAATGCTCTTAATCTGTCTTTTATACGCTCTCCTTCTACTATAACCACTTCTAATGTTACCAATCTTGTAGCTGATAACTTCCAGGACTTCAATACTCTCGACGTTTTGAAATGTCTTAAAACTCTTAAGCCCTCACATAGTCTTGGCCCTGATGGTATACCTGCATATGTCCTAAAACAATGTGCAGATGCTTTATGTTTTCCTCTAACTAATATCCTAAATGCTTCTTTCTCCGAAAACGTTGTACCTGTTCCATGGAAAGACATTAAAATAGTCCCTGTCCCTAAACCTGGAAATAGCAAGAACGTAAAGTTCAGACCCATCGCCATCACTCCCCCGTTTCTAAAGCTCATGGAAAAACTAGTACTTCTTAAACTCGAACCCTCCCTTAAAAGCTTCGGAGACCCCAAACAATTTGCCTACAGACAGGGTAGGAGTACTTTAGACGCTGCAGCCGTCTTACACAACAGTACTGTCTCATCGTTAGACAAAGGTGCCAAATATGTCCGCTGCACGTTTCTTGACTTTACTTCTGCTTTCGACTCTGTACCTAGAAGTCTCTTGCTAAATAAGCTCTCCATGACACAAACCGAGTCCTGGGTCACTAACTGGTTGCATTCCTACTTTTCAAACAGAATGCAGTACACCGTATACAAAGGCCGATCCTCCTCTGCTGTGCTCACAGAAGCTGGTGTCCCCCAAGGTGCTGTACTCTCCCCACTTCTCTTTTCATTCTTCCTACATGACCTACCGTCTTCAAATGACATTAACTTTGTCAAATATGCTGATGACCTAACTGTATCTTTATGAACAGGCGGTACGTTCGAAATTGGTGACATTTTTGCACGTGTTTGCTCTGAAATTTATTTACTGCTTATTGTCATATAATTCTTGAAATTATGGTCCAAATCTCTAAAAAACGTGTTCGTAGAAACACAATTGTTTTAGATAGTGGCTCAAATTCGGTTATAACTGCATTACCGCGTGTAATACAGTATCAACTACTAGCTCTCAAAATGGTTTGAGTGCAGATCTCACTCCTGTGATACAGGTGAAAGATGTTCTGTTAGAGAACTCTGAGTTCTGTAAACTAAACCTCCTTTTGAAAGATATGCAGAGGCAAGTAAGTGAAATTCAGAAAAAATTAGATCAGTTTGATAGTATGTCACTGCCAATCTCAAATACCACGGAGAGCCGGTCTGATATTGGCCAGGTTAAGTGTTTACTGGATGTAACTCAAAATAAGCTTTTGAATTTAGACCCAATAGCCTGTCTTTTAGAAAGGCATCCTAAAATATCTCCAGACAACCTAAATAAAGCTGAAAATCTGATTGACTGCTTGGCTACGGAGGTGATGAAGCGTATAACCTCTTCTCACCAAGCTATAGTTTACAACGTCCCAGATTCTCTGCCCCTGAAAACTGTAAGACACAAAATCCTGATTTGTTGCGGCATGGCTAGTGTTCCATGTGAATGCAAACGACTTCGTAAAAAGTCTAACCAGGCTAATTGCCCAATCATTTTTAAATTCAGTAATTCCCTTGATGCTAGTAAGTTTACTAAATGTCAGGATCACTTAAGACTGAATAGCAGTTATAAGTCTATAACCGTAGCTCAGGATAAAACACCGTGTCAGCGCAGAATAATGCGTAGTAATAACCTGGTCACCTCCTCTAGCTTAGATTTACCAAAAAAGGATCGTGCACAGCAACAGACACCTAGTGCTGAAACTAGCATTCAGCAAACTACACAACAACCACACCTGCCAATGGAACTAGGAACTGATTTAGATACCAGTACCCCTGTAAATAAAGCCTCATCGAAAGATGTTAAAATGACTAGAACTTCTGCAAGTTGTTCTAAGAAATTTCCCCCCAAACGTAGTAACCTCACCACGATGAACAAATTTCGCAGGGTTGAGACTAATGATGGGGAAGAATACTTTGTATTCAATAAGCCTGCTGAGAGTAAGAATGCCAACAAACCATCACTTGTTACGAAAAACTCCTCTCGAAACATAAGTATATCTGGAGGTGTTCCGCATGCTCCACCTTATAGAAAGTCAGGCTCCAAGACTCCTAAAGTCTTGCAGCCAAAGCACCTTCCTTCACAATTCCCTTTAAGTTATAAAAACAACCCGAAGGTGTATACCGGTATGACGAATAGCAGTTGGATGGGTAGACCTTCTGATGCTATGCCTTTTAACCGTCAACCTAGGCCCAACCTGTACTACCCTTATATCCAGGAACACATGGTAAATTTTCCAGGTGTCCCGAATCACTGGTACGACCCATGGCACCTAGGACCACCTCATTGCACTCCAACCCGATGTACAGACACCCAGTCCGACCTCCTTTTCATTCATAAATTCTTGCGGTGCTGACGCACAAATAGATTTAGGTTATGGTGACATTTTAAGCCAGTTTGTAGTATCCCGTGACTTATTCACGATATTGCTAATTAATGCACGTTCCTTAATCAATAAGATATCTGAACTAAGGACATTATTATTAGTCGCCAAGCCTACTGTAGCTCTGATTACTGAGTCATGGTGCTCATCCTCTGTACTTGATGTGCATATAGGTATCGATGATTACACTGTACACCGTGCAAACAGAGATTGCAAGCGTGGTGGAGGATGTCTCATATATATACATAGCTCATTTGTAGTCAGTAAGGTGGAAGATGAAACAATGAATAATGTACCTGACTCACTCTGGGTTGTCTTACATGGAGATAAGTACAAACTTCTCATAGGCTGTGTTTATCGAGCACCAAGCTCAACAAAAGAAACTGATGCGTTATTAGCTAAATCGTTTGCACACGCATCCTCGTTTAGTGCTAATTACAAAATAATTGCAGGGGACTTCAATCTTCCAGAAGTCAATTGGCTAACTAGTTCCGGCCCCCAACGCTTCGACGAATTACTTGCCACTATAGACTGTTATGGATGGCAACAACACGTCCAGACACCTACTCGTGGTGACAACATGTTGGACCTTGTTTTTTGTCATGACACAATCCCAGTATCCACGTATGTTGGTAATCGATTTTCCAGTAGTGACCATAGAATGGTACTCTGCTCTCTGCCTTTCTCACCACTAAATACAGGAAACAAACAAGACTCAGGAAGCACAATATGTCGTAGTTACAAATATACAGACTGGGGATTAGTCCAAGAACTTATTCGACTCTGTCAATGGGATGACTATTTTACCACTGACTCCCTGGAGGCCTTAGTAACCCTGTTTTACAGGAATGTTACCCTTTGTCTAGATACAGTTGCTCCAAAGAAAATAGTGAAATTAAGTAGACACCGAACTGAATATATTCCAAGGGCACACCGTAATAAGTTAAGGAAACTGAAGAAACAGTACTATTCCACTAAGGACATATCACTATTGCTCTCAATCCACGAGTCTCTTGAATCTCTCAAGCGCCTACGCTCTCAAAAGGACCTCGACGAAGAGTTAACGGCACTTGAAAGTACCTCCAAAGTTTATAACTTAACGGCACTTCTTAAAAAACGAATGCAGTCGGCGAGGGAAATCCCATACTTACTTCACGACAAAGTAATCTACAATGAACCTGCCACTATCTGTGAACTCTTCAGTGATTGGTTTGCAAACTTTAGTTTAGAAACACATATGCCTGGTGAAACCGCTCCCCTTACTATCTCTTCCCTTGAAAGCATTGTGTTCACTAATCAGTTAATAGTACAAGCAATTAAAAGCCTTAAACCTTCCACTAGTACGGGACCGGATGGCCTCGCTTCGATAATTTTCAAAAACAGTGGGTGTGATATACCCTTGTTACTTCTTAAATTCTTCTCAATATCTATGGACACTGGCACTTACCCTAGTGAGTGGAAAACTAGCTTCATAATTCCACATTACAAATCTGGTGATAGGGCAAACGTCCGCAATTACAGACCCATAAATATAACCCCAGTTATCTCACGAATCATGGAGAAAGTTGTAAAAGATCAATTGTCAGACTACCTAATTAGGGAAGATCTTGTTACAAGGTCTCAACACGGATTTCTCAAAAATAGATCCTGCGTTACTTGCCACTTCGACTTTTTCAACTGCATCACTAGTAGTCGCGAAGCACGTAAGCTAGTCGTTGTTCTCTACTTCGATATATCTAGGGCATTTGACATGGTATCTCACAGTATTCTCTTTGAGAAGCTGTACTCTTGTGGAATTCGCAACCCATTACTGAACTGGTTAAAATCATTTCTAAGCAACAGGGTACAAATAACCAAAGTTGGATCTGTATTGTCTCATCCTAGGCAGATCTCAAGTGGGGTCGTGCAAGGTAGTGTCCTAGGTCCACTTTTATTCACAGTCTACATTAACAGCATTTGCAAGTGCTTCACCTCAGGTAAACCATTCCTATATGCTGACGACCTCAAAGTCGTCTACTCCTGCTACACTCATGAATTAAGCGATATGGTTACTAAAATACATCTTGAACTAAGTAGTCTCGCAACATGGTGTGCTGAATCCTGTCTAAATTTTAACATTGACAAATGCGGCTGGATTTGTATCGGCAACAGTAACCTTGATCTAACTCTTGAAATAAATGGGCGAAAACTAGCTAAGCTCAACTCAGTCGTAGATCTCGGTATTAGATACTCTAGTAACCTAACGTTCGCTGAACAGACTGATTATGCCAGACGTAAAACGCGAAGGCTGATAGGATGCATAACACGCAATTTCTTTTGTTGTGAAACTAGGGTTTTATTATACAAAGTATGTGTCCGACCTATCTTAGAATACTGCCCGTTTATTCTTAGCGGACTAAGACAAAATGACAAGCTTAAATTAGAGGGAGTGCAACGGCAGTTTACCTCAAGAACTCTTGGTTTAGAAAGTGGTCTGGAATACCATGAGCGATGCGAAGACTAAGATTAGAACCCCTCTGGAAAAGACGCCTTAAGCTAAACCTTATCTTTTACTATAAGCTAACTAATCTTCTCTTGCATTCCTCCGAGCCAATAACTAAACCTACCGCTGTCATCAGTTACAATCTTAGAAATCATCACAACCTAGCTGCTATGGAGCACTGTCAGACTTACGTGCGGTACAACTTCTTCTTAAATAAGTTTTCAGTCATTTGGAATAGACTACCAGCTAATGTGCGCGATGCAAACACACTTCCAGTGTTCATCTCCTCAGTCACCAGACTACTCAAAGATGACAATGCACTTTTGCGCCTGACTCTTACACCTTCTTTTTCACCCTACATAGATATTTTAAGTTCTTTAAACGTGTAGTTACAACAAACTACAATTATAAATTTTAATATTATTGGAACTAGATGATTAACATTTCTACACAGGACAGTAATATTAGTTTACACATAATATAAAAGTTAGCATAACGGGACTAGTTAGTTTGTGTACCAAAATAACCACAGTTACTAAACAGAATATATATGTATATATTTATTAATCACTCCTTAAGGACTCCCGTTGCTTTCTTTTGCGTTGCTGTTGTTTGTCTTCTTTTTTCTCTCACCATTTCAGCTTCCATTTGACTTTTTGAATGAGAATGAATAATGTGGATATTTGACCATTTACAATGACAAATGATCTGCAAACATTATTGGTCCCGTATCTTTCAGTTGCCTGGTTAATAACGAATTAACTTTCTCCACGACGCAACCTGGATTACATTTGTGGAATATACTCTTATACCAATGGAAAAGTATCAATTTGTAATACAACGTCACGATTGTAGCTTATAACATAACTGATCGTATCTGTAAAAATAGCTTCCTTATTACCCAATTTGGATATCAATCAAATCAAAAATGAGATTCGGATTTGTACACACCCAAGTTATATTGAGGAATTACTTCAAGCTTTATTTTTTCCCAAGTATTTTTAATCCATCCAAAACTTACTTGGGTTTTTTTGTTAATGCGAAGACAATATTCCTATATTTCATGATGTGCTCCATTGAATGACTTGTTATATTGTGGAATAACTTCAAGCTTTATTTTTTCCCAAGTATTTTTAATCCATCCAAAACTTACTTGGGTTTTTTTGTTAATGCGAAGTTAATATTCCTATATTTCATGACGTGCTCCATTGAATGACTGGTTATCATATTGTTCCCACAGACCTAAGACAAAAACGCCAGCAACCATGTAACTTAACCATAAACCAAATTTATGAAATTTATATAATGCTTATCCATGCCTGTATATTTGGTGTGTCCTACACAAGTAGGAAAAAATGTGTATTTTATTAAAACATTATTATTAATTATGATTGCTAATCGTATATGTAATTTATCATATTGATGATGCCTGTAAACTGGCGTCTCTCATGTACAAAATGAGAATATACTATTATTATTATTATTATTATTACCTGTCAAATGTCAAAGTGACTGCTCTAAACTGAATGGCTTCTTATCAGAAATCAGCCAATGATCCAAGGAAAACGGTCTAACCTTAAACCCCTCCAAATGCCAAACAGTTAATTTCACCTTTAGGCACAAATCTGACCTAAACAAACTGGTTAGCACTCACGAGGTGTGCAACATAGATGGCACTAAAATAGAAACCAAGTCGGAAATTAAATACCTAGGCGTCACTCTATCTTCTGATCTTTCCTGGTCGTCTCATATCTTGACAATTTCCAAGAAAATATACCGTCTTACCTTCTACATCAAGAAGTTAAGACATTCTGGTGTAACCCAACCCTTACTCCTACAATTTGTTAACTCCCGTATTCTGCCTATTACTCTCTATTGCTCCCCCTTAGTCTTTCCTGGGCTATTGAAGAAAGACTATACCTTATTACGTAGGATGTTAAAGGTTGTCAGCAGGGTAAGCAGCTTGCCACTTAGCCAGCTAGTTAATATTCTGGTGGACAGGCATATGGACTCATGTGAAAAATGGGCGAAATCCATTTTATCTGACTCACAACACCCTCTACATTCACAACTCTCCCCATGTATCTCTTCAGGGAAAACCAGAAGCCTATATAGGAAACTATATGCCCGCACTAGTAAGTACAAAAACTCATCCATACCCCACCTAGCCCGTGTTCTGTGCGATAAAGAATGCATCAGGCATGAAACCTTTAACTTATTAAATAGTCAGTAGAACAAATGGATCTCGTCTTTCCAACTCACACCATTTATAGGTACAACGTTTTCTCGCTCTTCATTCTGTATTTATTTTTGTTATGTGCTGTTTTGTTTCTCTCTTCCTTGCAAACTCTACTTAAGGCATTCTTGTTCGTTCTTTCACACTTTGTATATCTCGACCTTTTTGCTATCGCTTACGCCAGATAATATGCTAGTAGTATCTACTTTTCTAACACCTTCAAACACTTTAATTTTGGCTTCGCTACCGACATACTAATATGTTGTTGAGATAACTTTTAATCTATGTAGAACTTTATTTATTGTTAATGTAAAAACTGGATGCAATATTGTAGTAAAAATGCTGAGAATTCCATTCTGTATCACAAGTACTGATTTGGAATAAAGCTTATGTTATGTTATGTTAGTTAAAGAATCAAGCTTTCACTACGATTCCGTCCCGAAATATACTTCATAATCTGGACGATAAATTCTGGTGTTTTGTTTTGACTTTGGTCTAGGTGGAAATAATACTATAGAAGTTGTGGGTATTAGATATGGCATACTATCCATGAACATCAACACCCTCAGACTCCAAACTCCTCTTTTATTTATTATTACTTGATTACCTGCATTATATTCAAACTCTGTTGTTTCTAGAAGTAATTATAGATGCTCTATACCTTTTGCATTGTAAATTCGCTCCGGATCTTGTTTTTGATTACTGTTTGGATAAGGGACTGATTGCAAGGTCAAAAATTTGTCAATGCGTAGGTGATATGGGCATACAAAAATACACAAGGTCCATTGATGGGTTTGCGTACAGGTGTAATGAGTGCCGGAGGAGAAAATCAGTT